GACACTTTCAGTTGTTAACAAACTCGAGCCGCACGTGGTTAGCGTCCCAGGTCTTGGTCTCCCCTGGGGGCCCGGCTGTGTCAGGTTAGAGAGGAAGGACAGATGCCACACCCAGAACCGCTCACCTGTCTCCTGAGGCCCCACACGCCAGGCGGCACACAAGGCACAGGTGCACACATGCTCGCACGTACACGCACACGTACAGATGTATTATCTACCCACACAGACACTCTGGCCCTTTCTCGTGCCCCCTAAGCTGTGCCTTTCTGGATTCCGTCCACCTCCAAGGCCTTTCTGACGTATCTCTGTTGGGAAAGGAGGGGGTGAGGACACACAAGAGGGGCCGGGGTCAGATCCGTGGAGCGTGGGCCTTGGGCTCCAGGAGTTCTAGTCGGCCAGGGAGACAGGAGCAGGTGCCAGGGAGGGGTGGCTGGGGCCCCGGGGTCCGCGGGGCATCACGGGGAGGGGCTACGGTCTGCAGATGTGCTTCAACGTGCGGGTTTGGGGAGGATGAAGCGACCGTGGTCTGGTGCAGTGGTGAGGGGCCAGGAAGCCCCCAGCCCCGGTCCCAGTGGAGGGGACGGAGGGGAGGGAGGGAGGGTGCCAGGAAGGCAGGGGGCCAGGACAGTTACAGCAGGAGACGCGGGGATGCGCAGGACCAGGGGAGGCTCTGCCGTCCGGTGATGCCCTCTTGTCTCAGAAGGTGCACGGAAGGTGAGGGGGTTGGGATGGGTGGGAGGTGGGCCTGGGTTGGGGGCGCAGAGCCACGTGGGCAGGGAGGGGAAGCCCTTGGAGCTGTAGGCTTCTTACGTGTCGACGATGGTTGGGACAGGGGTGCAGGCACCTGGAGGCGGCTCTGTGGGCCTCAGGCCGCGGCTGGGGGAGATTAAGGGGTGAGAGTGAGTGAGTGAGCACTGCCGTGCATGAGTGACATGGGGGGTGTACGTGCATGAGTGTACGATGTGTGTGCGTGAGTGGTGTGTGTATTTGTGTGTGTGCGTGTGTGAGCGCGTCCCGGGGCGGGGGGTACCCCGGGGCTCAGCCCCTCTCTCCTCCCACAGATGGAGGTGCAGACATCAGCCTACTTGCCAAGTTCAGGCAGAGGGGATTTCCCCAGGCCTGGAGCCTGGCGTTCCGCCCCGAAATAAGTGTTTTGAGAATTAAGAAGGGGGCCACTGGAACTCTTAATTTTTTTTTTTTTTTTAATGCAAGGGATTTAGGGAAAATGTGAGTAACTTCAAGGGGCCATCCTAAGCTCAGAACATTATGGTCAGCATGGTTGCTGGCCCTGAGCAGTGAAACCAGAGCTCCAGAATGTTCTGGGCCCCCACAGTGTCAGCTAGGCCTTCTGTTTCCTTCCCGAGCCAGGGAGTGGGACTGGCAGATTTAAGGAAGTTTTCAACAGGGGTTGAAACAAGGCCACACTCGGGTTAAACCGACCAGTCAGGGTTCCTCGAGTATTTGGACACTTCCAAAGACTGAACATGCACGGACTTTGTGATTTGTGTTCTGAAATGACAGAAAAGTGACCTTTGAGTGAAATTTGTGATTCCCGGCATTCCTAAATTCTCTTTAGTGTTTAGTTCTGAAGAAGTGACGGCGGGGCCCCTCCCCTGGTGGCCTCTGCTCTTGCGGAAGCCCGCATTGCATGCTGTCCGAGTGGGTGGAGATGGCAGGATGTGTTGGAATTGCTTTGCTGGGGATACTCCGTCTCCCCTGTGGTTTCCCTCGGGGCCTTGTTTGGATGGGGTGTCGGGGGCCTTAGTCCCCAACTCTCTGTTGGAGGGTGACTTCTAAAGGATGTACCTGGAAATGCAACCCTGGCATTTCTGTCCTGTTGGGGAAGCTGCAGCCGGACGTCAGGGGCACCAGCAGCTCCCAGAAAGACTGTGCCTTGGGGACGACATCAGGGTGACGGTGGCGGGCAGAGGGTCAGAGCTGGCTGGGGACCAAGGGCACATCACAGTCGCTCAGCTGTGGCCCAGGCTGTGGTGGGCTTGGAACTCACTTGGAACTCAGGGTGGCCTTGGGTCAAGGAGGGCAGGGCCTTTGGTGCCGTGGGAGTTCTCCAGAAGGGTGGTCTCCAAGTTTTTGTGATCGCCATGGACTTCATGTTCGTGTCCCCCAAAATCTTATGTTGAAACCCCAATCCCCAGTGTGATGGTGTTAGGAGGTAGAACATTTGGGGGTGATTAGGTCATGAGGCTGGAGCCCCTGTAAATGGGATCAGTGCCCCTTTAAGAAGAGACCCCAGAGAGAGCTTGCTTCTCTCTCCACCAGGTGAGGACACAAGAGGACGCAGTCCACAAGCCAGGAAGTGGGCCCTCATCAGATTCCAGATCTGCCAGTGACTGAGTGTTGGACTCCCAGCCTCCGGAGCTGTGAGACATGAACGTCTCTGTTGTTTAAGCCCCCAGTCTGTTGTGTTTTTGTCAGAGCAGCCGGAGCTGACTAAGACACCAACATCCCATCTTTTGACAGTAAGGATTATTTGAGGACATGCTCTCAATATATGCAGATGCATTTATTTTTGCGTGTCACGTGGACCAGCATACTAAAATACTATACATTATAAAATATAGGCGTCTTAAACCCTTTAGAAAGATGAGGTACAAAGCAGCATAATGGAAATGTCACTAGGTTCTCCTCGTGCGTTTCTGGGGTGCATGCATCTCCCCTTGTTGTTTTGACCCTGGTTTAGAGTTAGGGGGCTGTAGAGAGTTTAGCCTCACAGGAAGGACAGGCTTGCTTTTTGCTGCTGTTAACTTTTTGTCAAACATTTTAAACTATTTATTAAGAATCTTTACAAACAACATTAGAGTGCAGAGTATCGTGGTCCATTTTATTTGACCTAATAATCCCCTCCCCTGCTCTCCTCACCCCTTCCTCTCCCTATAGGTTCTTTTAAAGCAATCCCTGGACCTCACTTCATCAGAAAATTACTTTAATATGTGGCTCTGCGTATTAAAGGACACCTGCTTTTTAGAGTTGGCGCACAGTTTGCTAGGACTCTGAAGGCTCTCTGAATTCTTCGTTTCCCTTCCTTCTCCCCTTTCCCTTTGCTTCCCTCACCTCTTCCTTCCCTCCACCCCAACCGTCACTCACTGATTGAAGACACCTGGTCACGTGTCTAGTAGAGTCTCTTTGTCCTGGATTTGCTGGTTGCTCCCCTGTTGTGGCGTTTACAATGTTCCTCTGTCCCCGAGTCTCCTGTAAACCTGAGAGATCAGCTCCACCTTTTACCAGGAGGTGCAGGAGCTGGGTCATGAGGAGGCTGCCCCCCCCCCCCCCCACCAAGGACAGCAAGTGACACGGTCCCCTCTTGGCCTGGCTCTGCCCTCACCAATAGGACCGTGGGCACATCCTTCACCTCCTCGGGCCTCAGGCTTCCTGTATGTGGAGGTCGGGCTTGTTCCAACATATCCAAGGAAACAACAGCCCTGGCAGTAGAGGAGCTGGCCGATGTCCTTCCCCTGGGGATCTAAGAGGGAGCAGAGCGCTGCCCTCAGACCCCCTGAGTTACCTTGTCCCCCGCCATCATGAAAGGTACCGGCTCCCCACAGCCTGGGAGAACGGAGAACACAGCCCCTGGATGATTTGCTGTGAGGCCTCCTCTACTCCTGGAATCCTGGCTGAGAGGAGCTGGCGAGAGGAACGCTCTGCAGAGAAATATCGAGGAATGTGAGAGTGTGTGCTTAGAAATATGAATTTACTCAGAGAGATGGGCCTCAGGCGAGAAAGAGGGAGCAGTCCTACCCAGTCGCCGTCGTCAAGAGCAGAGTTTTGCTACTGCCCACTCTCCTGAGGCCCCGAGGGCTGCTGTGCGCCAGGTGGTGCTGGCTGTGCGGTGGGCACAGCCCTGGCCCCAGGCTGGCCGCGGGCATCCAGCTCCGGGGGGCAGGTCCGGTGGTCCTCATCGGCTCCTTCCTCGAGGGAGGTTCTCCAAGGATGCCCCAAGCACCGCGTTCCAGCGGGCCCCTCGCCAGGAACCTCCTTCGCCTGTGCTCCCATAAATCATGTTTCTGGCACCATGAAGCCAAGTGGAGATTTGTCAAAGCAAACCCGAGCTGGCAGAGGCCTGTCCCAGCCCGGCCCGCAGGCTCTGGATGCCCGGCCGGCCGCCCAGACTGTCGGGCTGCCCAGATCCCGAGGTGGCCCGTGTGGAGCCGTGTCTGAGGGGCACGATGGGCCTCAGGGGTGTGGCTGGTGACCTACACAAGCTGGATTTGTCCCAAATGACCATGCTGCGGCCTGACTCTCCTCCTCCTTCTTTTTAAATTCATAGACAACTTTTTTAGAGCACTTTTCCCTATATGGGAGAAATTGATGGAAAGTACAGACTCCCACCTCCCCGCCCCCATTGTTTACATCTGGCTTTGGTGGCTACACTTGGTACAAGTGATGAGCTGGCATTGATACACTGTCATTAACTAAACTGCATAGTTTACATCAGTGGAAGGCATACATACCTGGCCTGTTACCCTTTATATGACACAGTGTGTGAGAGTCAGAGCCAGGCAAGCGGGTGACAGCATCCAGGGTCCTTCATGGTTTTTCTGCTTTTGCGCTTGAATCTGTACAGGTGGTGGGGCTGGTGTGTGGGATGATTCACTGCTCAGGATACCAGGAGGGTCGAGGCTGGAGAGGCCTCAGTCTCCATCTAGTCAGCTCTAACCCTGCAGGGGAGGGGGTAGCCTTAGCCTGAGGCCTCAGCAGGACCACCTATCAGAACACAGCACGCCCTCACCTGCACAGTGTCCAAGCACGAGCGTGCACGTTTACATTGCCTGAGTGTGTGCTGTGCGTGCGCTGTGTGACCAGGTGTGTCTTGGGTGAGTGAATTGCATGTGTGTTGCATGCATGTTGCATGAGCATCTGTGGTGTGTTGCACGTGTGTGACGGGGGAGGCGACCCCTGGGCACCGGGAGGATGGCATCATGGTGACTGTTGGCCTGAGGAAGGAAGTGGTGACTGTGTCAGAGGAGCATCAGGAAGTAGACACAGTTGCAGAACCGAGGCTGTAGCTCATTCCTTCCTGAATCTCTGGCTTCCAGCCCCCCGGGCAGCGCGATGCAGGGTCCTTCTCGTCCTCGCAGCCACAGCATGTGGTGGTTTGATCCTTTGTCCGCTGCTTCTCCCCACACCAGGGAGCAGAGGCCGTGAGGCTGGGCTGGGCTGAGCTGCCGGCCGGGAGCAAGGCTATGGTGGGCAGCGGCCAGACCAGGGCTTCCTGGGACCCAGCACGTTAAATTTGCTACTTGTGATTCACAGCTGAAGGCAGGACTGCTGCTGCGGTCACGACCACACCTGGAATGACACCAAAGTCGCAGAGGAGCCCCGTGGAGGGAGGGGGCTGCCCCTGTACCCCCGCCTCCCCCTTCCTGGGCTCCGAGGCATCTACCCGGCCTTTCTGGAGACCAGGGGTTGGTTCCTGGCCTGCCTTGGTGGGCTCGAGGCCCCTTGCCACGTCCTGGTGGGTTCCAGGTCCTGTGGCTTCAGCCAGAGCTGTGGAGATGCTGTGGGCACAGGTGTGCCGGGAGCTGCCTGCTTGGTTGGGGAAGCAGGCTCCTGCTGAGGTGGGGAGAGCGGAGACTTGGCTTCTCTCCTCTGATGTCTCTATTTGTCATTCGAATAGATCAAAGGCATCTCTGGAGTCCTGATTTTAAAGGAAGGAGAGGTCAGAACTACAGGCACCTCCCGTCCGGCTCTAGGAAGTCCCAGGCTGCATTCTGGGTCACTGCTGCGTGGCCAAGAGGCTTGGGCCCTCCTCCCTCCCTGCCTCCCTCCCCCTCCCACCATCCTTCCTTCCACCTTCCTCCCTCTCTGCTCCCTTCTTTCTTCATTCAGATCTTCATGAGGGGCCTCCTGGGGCTTGGCTCTGGGCTGGGTTCCCTGGGAGCTCCGTGAATGGCCTACGAGCTAGTCCTTACTCATGAAGACTTTCAAATTGAGTTGAGACCCCGTGTATCGAAGGAACAAATGGACGCTGGGCACGTCTGTGTGCCAGGCTCCTCTTGCCGGAGCTGAGGGTTGCAATGATGGTGGGGATGATGGGGGAGGTGTCGGTGTTGGTGAGATGTTGGTGATGGTGGAGGAGTTGTTGGCGAGGTATCACCAACAGGTGATGGCGGCGGCAGCGCTGACAGAATGTTTGGGGAACTTGCTCGCCTCAGTCAAGTGGACTCAGGATGTCCTGCTGTGGACTCAACTGGACCAGCAAGTCTGGGGTCACCCAGGTAGGCTACTGGGCATCAGTTTGCGTGAGGACCCAGTGGGGGGCAGCCGGAGATGCTGGATGGCCAGCTTGTGCCCAGGGTGGAGACTTCCTGGGGAGGGGGCGTCATGGGCTGCCCGCGGCAGCTTTCCGGGCGAGGGCAGGAGGCTGCTGGGAGGGGGGATTCGGCATTGCTGGTCAAGTGCACAGCTGTCAGTCGCCGGGTTGGCGGCACGGACTGTGTAATGCGCTGTCTCTGCACCCAGCCCTTTAAAAGCCACGAGCCTGGTAGAGGTGTCTTGTGGAGGCCGCCCGATGGGACCGTGGCCTTTACTCCAGGGATGCGGCAGCCCAGGGTCTCCTGGGGCGGGCGGCCGGGGGGGGACTGAGAGCTCACTCTGTCACAGTTGGAGCCTTGGGTGACTTCTGAGTAAGGGATGGCTAGGTCTGCAGGCAGCTGCTCAGGCACAGGGGATTCCTTAGAGGTTCGATTCCAGGGAACAGGGTGAGGGAGGGGCTGAGGGGGCGGGATAGAGGAGAGCCAGGGGGACGATGAGCGGCCAAGTGCCTGCAGCACTGTCCCCGCGGCCACAGCTGGAAGCACGGTCTGCTGCTGCCCACCTGCCCCGTGGTCCCGGCCGCCGCCACGCACAGGGAGCTGCTTCTGGGAGTGGCCGCCTGTGGTTAGGTGGAGGCTCTGGGGGACGTGGTCCTTGCAGGGGCAGCCGCTTCTGCCCTTGTCTTGCCGCCCGCGGAGTGGCCAGGAGGTAGGGAGGGCCCGCGCCTGCAGGGACCAGACCCCGCCCTGGCCCTGCCTGTGAGCAGCCCCTCAGGGAAACGGAGGGCTGAGAAAATCAAGGGCATTCAGCTGCAATGCCCTGCGGACAAAGTCAGTTCGGGAACTCCCTTTGGCAATGTTCCCAGCCCCCAGGAGAGGGCCTGTGTCCTCGCTATGGGGCTGAGCCTCTCAGCTGTCACCCCAGGAGGTGACGCGAGGACAAGAGAAGAGGGGTTTGCGAGGCAAAGGGGCCTCCAGTCAGATATGGGGAAGCGTCTCCTGCAGCCGAGGAGAGGGTCACGCTGAGATCGGCTCTGGGCCTGCCCGGGGGTCCCAGGGGGGTGGGACAGATGGCAGGCTGCTGCTCCTGGGACACACCCCAACCCTGCCAGCCACACCGGAGTTCAGTCAGCAGCCCCCGCTGGGCCAGGGCAGCCCAGCCTGGGGCCCAGGGGCCCAGGGATGCTGGCAGCTCTCAGAAGACCTCCCATTCCACCCTCACCCCCTCCCTTGACCAGTCCCGCCACGGAAGCGGGGGGCCCCCAGTGACCCCAAACCTAACACTAAATGTCACAATAAGAAAAGGACATTATTACATATTTGTTCAGAATGTGAGGCCGGGGACTTCCCTGGCGGTCCAGCGGTTAAGACTCCACGCTTCCAACGCAGGGGGCGCGGGTTGGATCCCTGGTCGGGGAACAAAGATCCCACATGCCGTGCGGCACGGCCAAAAAATAAAAATAAATAAATAACAATAAAAATAATAAAATAATTTAAAAAAAAAAAAAGAAGGTGATGCTGGGAAAAACCCCTGCTCCCCTGGGCAAGATTTTCTAAATAAAATGACACCTGCCCCAGCTGGGACCCCCACTGAGCTGTTCTCAGGGGTGAGGTTGCTGGCTCTGCCCCACTTTCCTTTTTTTTCTTGCCTAAGAACATTTAACATGAGATCTGCCCTCTTAACAGATCTTTAAGGGTACAGTACAGTATTAGGATTTATGAGCACAACGCCCGTGAACAGAGTTCGAGAGCTTATTCACCCTGCGTAACTGAAACTGTATACCCATCCCACAGAAATTCCCCATTTCCCCTGCCTCAGCCCCTAACAACCACCTCCTACTCTCTGCTTCTCTGAGTTTGTTATTTTAGCTTCCACATGGAGGTGGAATCATACGTTATTTGTCCTGTGCTGGCTTTGTTTCACTCAGAATAACGTCCTCCAGATTCCTCCATGTTATCACATACGACAGGATTTCCATCCTCTTAAAGGCTGAATTATACCCCATTGTATGGTATGGACCACATTTTCTTTATCTTCTCATCTGCAGGTGGGCACTTGCGTTGCTTCCCCATCTTGGCTGTTCTGAATAGTGCTGCAGTGAACGGGGGAGTGAAGATATCTCTTCCAGATCCTGATTTCAATTCTTTTGGATAAATACCCGGAAGTTGGACTGCTGGATGATTTGGTAGTTCTAGTTTTAATTTTTTGTAGAACCTCCATTGTGTTTTCCATAATGACTGTGCCATTTTGCATTTTCGCCAGCAGTGCACAAACAAGGGTTCCGGTTTCTCTGCATCCTCACCAACACTTGTCTTTTTGATGATATCCATCCTAACAGGTATGAAGTGATATCTCATTGTGGTTTTACTTTGCATTTCCCTGATTTCAAAATATGTTACAAACCACAGTAATTAAAACAGTACGGTATTGACATAAAAATACAGACATATAGACTAATGGAACAGAATAGAGAATCCAGAAATAAATCCACACATATACAGTTGACTGGTCTTTGGCAAGGGAGCCAAGAACACACAATGGGGAAAGGACAGTCTCTCCGACAAACGGTGTTGGGAAAACTGGATATCCACACGCAAATGAATGAAGTTGAACGCTTATGTTATACCAGACACAAAAATCAAAATGGGTTAAAGGCTTAAATGTAAGACCTGAAACTGTGAAACTCCTAGAAGAAAACATAGGGGAAAAGCTTTATGACATTGGTCTTGGCAATGATTTGACACTAAAAGCACAAGCAACAGGAACACAATTAGTCAAGCAGGATTGCAACAAACTGAACAGCTTCTGCACAGCAAAGGAAACGATCAACAGAGTGAAAAGGCAACCTACAGAATGGGAGAACATATCTGCGGACCTGATCACTGGTTAATATTCAAAATATATAAGGGATTCCTAAACTTAGTAGCAAAAATAACTAATAACTTGCTTGAAAAATGGGCTAAAGACTTGAATGAACATTTCTCCAAAGAAGACACACAAATGGCCAACAGGTACATGAAAAGATGCGTGACAAATGTCACTGATCATCAGACAGCCAGGCGCCGTGGGTAGCAGGGCTGGCGGGGGGCCACGCTGCCCACGTCCAAGTGCTGCTTGGCCACTTCACACATATGTCTCTGGTGGGGAGTCATTGAATGCTCTGTGCCTCGGTTTCCCCATCTGTCAACGTGAGGGATCATGGCCTGGCGTCCGCAGGGGAATGGGTGTAAGTGAGACGGCTGTGTGATATTCCACACAGGGCCAGCTCTCCGTGTGGATGGACCGCTAAGCTCGCTCAACCTCCCAGCACTGGGAGGGGCGCTGTGTTCCACAGATGCTGGGGTGACCTCAGAACGAACGATGAGCACGGCTGTGGTCGGGGCGCCCACCTCCCACGGCCTCATGCACTTGGCATGTCCTGAACTTCTGCTAAGAGACTGGCTGTGCTGTGTCCATCTGTCTGTCCGCTTCTTTCTCAGGCATCCATCTGGCTACACCTTTTCACAGCTGCTTTTCCAACCAGCCCCCGGGGATGGCTTTCCTCTGCCCATTTCATGGATGACAACACATAGGTGTGGTGACTTGCTCAAGGCCACACAGCTAGGCAGAATTTGGGGGGTAAAATCTGAAAGGTGGTGGGGTTCCGGAGCTCCCCTAGGTCACCCGTGATCGTGACAGGCAAGGCCGGGACCCAGGTGGGAGCCACTGCAGAGCCCCCAGGCCCCTGGGTGCAAGGGGTCTCCTAGCCCCACGGACTGGGGGTCACGGGGCCTGCCCCCAGCCCCAAGCAGGGACGCTGAGAAGCAGAGTGACCCCAGACACCCCACCTCCTCCACGTTTGCACCCCTGAGGTGGGGTTCCCCCCAGAGTGTTCAGGATTCCCGTGGTGAGCCCCGGGTTTTCTGAAGTGAAGAGCCCTCTCCACGCCAGCCGAGGTGCTTCATAACCCCAGCGCTTCCTGCTCCGTGTAAAGCCGTGGGCGGTCACGCCCCCTCCCGCGTGGACACGGGGGTCTTGGCCGT